TTTGCATTTTATATATTTGGCAGTATTTTTATTTGTATTTGCTTTTAAATTAGAGTTGAGAGCACAGAAAAATTTTCAGACATGTCATATAGGCATGCCTCTAGTTTTTTTGATTTAGAAGCATTCCCTATAGACATGTCTCCCAAATTTTTTATGTAACAACTTTTTATATATATAAATTTTTGAAAAAAGGTATGTCTAGAAGCATGCCTAGAAGGTATGTCCGAAAGGCATGCCTCATGCCCTGTGTCCCAACCCTACTTTAAATATTTTCTGTGCTGTAATTTGATAATTTATTACATATCTTTTTTTTTTATATTTGGATACTTTATTATAGCTCTAGTCAAGCTTTATTATGCTATCTTTACCATCTATACTAGATAAATTTATTATTAAAAGCAATGAAAAAATTAACAATTTTAATACAAAAGTTTATTGCAAGCCATGTAGAAACAAATTGGGTGAAGTAGAAAGTAGCAAATTTTGTTTCCTAATAAAAAAGACCGGATAGTTTTGCATTTCAAAAAGTGTGCCTATTTTTTCACTGAAACCACACCTGAAGAATGAAAAAAGATATTTAACCTAGTTAAGGTCTCTTTAAAAAGTATTATTTATTCTTCTTTATTTATTCATTTTTTATTTATTTATTTATTTATTTACTCATTTATTCATTCATTTACTTATTTATTTACTTATTTATTCATTTATTCACTTATTTATTCATTCGTTTATTTATTCATATATTTATTTTTAATTTATAGAATCTACAAAAATCACCCAGTCTTCTTCTTATAGACCAATAAATGATTATATTGTTAAACCTTTGTTGCCTCAAGATGTAAAAAAATTTCATTTGCTTATTTTATGTTTTACAATCTCTTGTGGGTGGGCACTGCATTGAGTTAATAAACCAGAGGCAATTAAATTATTTGAATTTCTTTACTCACTTCTTAAGCTTCCAGACTGGCATGTACTTGGTGGTCAAGTTCTGAATGATGCAACTAAAGAATCTGAAAAAACAATATTATCTACTTTAAAAGAAGATCCAATTGGCATCACGCTTACATTTGATGGTTAGACTAATATTTACAATGAGTATTTATTAGGTGTAGTTATAATCACATCAGAAGGTAGACCATATGTTTGGAAGGCAATGGATATTAGTTTGAAATATGAAACGCATATAAATATAATTGAAAAAATCAATTTAATGTTTACTGAATTAAGTGCACAATCAATAAAAGCTATTGCCGTTATAACAAATAGTGCAGGAGCATATGCTACCGCTAGGTATATTTTATCATTTTTTATTTAATTGATGATTCTCCAGTAAACCAATTAATTATCATAGTGTAACACAACGCATTTTTAGATGGAAATGGAGATTTTTTAAAGAAATATGGTATTCGCACAAGGAAAACTTTTTTTTTACTAAGTAAATCATCTTTGAGCTTCTAACAAAAGTTGTAGAGCTCATCAAGACGCATCTAATGGTAGTAAAAACATTAAAATTGGCTTGGTGATTCTTGAGAAATCTTTAAAAAACGTTTCGCTAACATATAAAATTTCTTTAAAGAAAATCGATTTTTTTAAAGAAGATTTTATATAGTTGCCAAA